TCAAACTTCATTGGCCGATGGCGGCCATGTTTTTTTTTTAGATACGCCAATGTCCTCATAGACACTTATGGCACATTGGACAAAGACACTGCATACCAATTTTACTAACGCTTGCGTAGTTATAGCCATTTTTATGTTTTTTTCCATCTTATAGCACCACCAAGTGGCAGAGCTGCGCAATTTTTTTTGTTTGACCAGAGATTGAGCTCTTACACATGTGTACCGAGTTTGGTGAAGATATCTCATTCTGTTCATGAGTTATAGCCATTTTAGTCAAATTGGCCACGCTCCTTATTAACGTTTTGGCGTCCCTATGCGACGGTGAGTCGAAATTTCTACTTTTTTTTATAATTATTGATACTCGCTGTCCAGAGAATATTTCTGCAGTGGTTTAGTTCTGATTGGGTGAAGAACCTAGGACTAGTTCGCAAAAGTAGGTTTTGAATTTAATTCAAAATGGCAGGAAAACCCGACCTCGTAGAGCGAATCTGACTTTCTACACTTTTCTTCGTTTTGACCCAAGGATTCCAAAAGTATACATTTTTGAGTCTACGACAAACGGTCTAGAACAGGGGTGTCAAACTCAATTCCTGGAGGGCCCAAGCCCTGCGGAGTTTTGTTCCAACCCTGCTCCAACACAAATACCATGTAGTTTTCAAACAAGCCTGAACGACTTGATTAGTTGGATCAGGTGTGTTTAATTAGGGCTGAATCTAAACTCTGCCGGGCTCCGGCCCTCCAGGAATTGAGTTTGACACCCCTGGTCTAGAAGTTATGAGCAGTTTTGCGTTTTTGATCGCTGTAGCGCCCCCCATAGGCCGATTGGGCCGAGTCTTTGGATCTGAGTAGCGAGCAATATTACTACCATCTGACAAAGTTTCAGCTCTCTAGGCCTTACGGTTTGTTCTGCACGATCAGTTTTAGTGGAGAAGAAGAAGAATAAAAATCCCTACAATTACACTACGTGCTTGAACTAGAGGTCTGCACGGGTCCAAAAATTTGTCCCGTAAATCCGGTAAATGTGCTACACTGAACCGACCCGGACCCGTCTATTATTTTGAAAGTTGGACCCGGGCCCGTGCAGAACCGAGAAATGTCAAAAATGTACTACCTGGAACTGACGCGGACCGTCACTTATTTGAAAGATGGACCCGAACCCGGCCGGGAAGACACAGACCCGACTGGACCCGATCGGCACATATTCACAGCAAATTGCTATTAACAAGTCGATAAACAAGTTGCAAAAATTTAACTTTTTGTCTTACCTAATGTAAGAAGCCTTCTCCCTTGTACCTGACTGTGATGCTCACAATCCTCCTTGCCAAGAAAGTTCCATCCATGTTATTCCTCTCTTGCCAATTGAAATGCGTAATCCACTCATTATTCCAGTTGCAAAAGTCCACTTGCTGTCACGGTGACGGATGACAAATGTGACTTTGCAGTTTTGCATTTTTTGTATCTGGAGTCAACTTGCATAATAATTTAGACTGTTTGCCCATTTGGATTATAATAACGATTGCTTGTTCAGTGCCATGGCTGCTGACGTTAGCTTTACTTATGTGCTATCATCTCTGTGCTCTCTGAGCCGAGTGTGAGCAAAAATTTTAGATATAACAACAAGACGGTTCATTCATAATATTATTAAAAAATGAATCAATAATAACCCACATCACTCATTAACTCCGCCCACCCTGCTTCTGATGACGTCGCTCGTGTTTTTGTTTTTTTTCCACCTTATTTCAAATTACCGACTCACACTTTTCTCTTAAAATATAAGAGAAATATTTCTTAAAATATAGCCGCGAACCCGTACGGATACCGGGTCGGGTCCCGGGTCCTCGGGTCTCGGGTTCTCCGTGTAGACCTCTAGCTTGAACCCCTAAAAATGTATACAGTTTCACAGTTCTTGCTTTCAATATTCTTAATTAAAAAAACATTATTTTTGTTAATTTGATTCTACAAATGCTTCAAGTATATGTTTTTACATAAAAATGATTTGGTAAGGTGCAATTTGCAAGTCTTCACAAATTTAAGTGATGCACTTTTGACGTGTTTATTAAAACATTTACTGTATGTAAAATGTCTTAATAAATACTGATCTTCAGTCCAGTCGTGCCCAAGTGTAGAAGAAAATTTTAGATAAAAGTAGTGTCTTTCTTGCAGAAGTTTTCGTCCTTGCTCAAGATGTCTGTACAGCCGTAACTGTTCAGCCGAAACAGCTTCAAAATCATTCATATTCTATGTGACGCCACGCAAACAGTTCGCTTTGAGATGGCGTGCACACCGCCACGCAAAATAGTGCACAATATCGTGATGACGTCATTTTTGCTGCGCGTACCCAAGCAACCTAAACAAAAACTCAAAACTTCACAAAACCGGCTGAGCACATGCGATAGGTGATTCTAAACAAGCATTTAAAGTTTCAGGGAGATCGGACCACACCTGGCGCTATAACAGTCATAAACGTTATAAAAACATCATATTTCTATGGTAAATCACCTGGATTTGACAAAAATGTTTTTTAATAATTGATTTATGTGGTTACAGGCTTGCTAAATAATATGTAATGTCTTTTTCCTTATGTGCTTAAATACCTAAAGCACTGGAACCCCGGTAATTGCTGCTTGCAGCTATATTTTTTATTATTATTATTTGTAATATATTGTGTCAATAGACAATGGTTATAATACAAAAACGCAATATTAAATATTTAAATAATTAAATAATCTTTACATCTCATCGTATTATTTCCATAGCGACGCGTCATGCAGGCACAATAGCGCTGTATGACAGTTTCACTTTTATTTAGTTTTTCCTTTTTCATTCAAAATATCCACAATCTTGTTAACTATATCATGAACTATATGATACAGCCAATTCTGATTGGCAAATATGTGTAAAATAATTTGCTTTGTCGTTTAAACAACCTTAATGGCCATGTTAGTTGATCTACTGTATAATGCGCGCTGGACGCTGTCGTGTGGATATGTCAGATTTACATCACGTAAATTCACCCATTTCTCCTGAAATACATTAAAGTAAGTGGCCAGTGAACTGTGACAAAAACAGAGCAAACTTTATAGTTACCTACACAATGTGTATTTGATAAGAATAAACACGTCGTCAAATTTTAATTAAAATGATTATTATTGCTGCTTTCCATAGAAATCAGTGTTTTTGACAAACTAGAAATGTCTTTTTAGCAAGTACTTAATTGAAATGTCTATTTAAATGTCTGAAATCTAAAATAAACTTTATGTGGTTGAAAGCACTGAACAGTTGTGATATATGAAAAGCATCTGTCTCTGGCTCCGTGCCAGCCAAAGCGCAGAGCGTCAAAGGGTTAAAATCCTTTTAGACTTGCACTCTATTCATTTACTAACTGCTTGTTTTCTTCAACAAAAAAATAATTAAAAAAAAAACGCTAGATTCTCTAATCTTTTTGTATTCTATCTATTTTTGTTTTTATTTATTATACAATTAACAAAAGCAAAAAAAGGCCTCTAACACTAGCTTGCTCTATTCTTTTTCTATTCTATCTGTTTACTTTTTATTTATTATATAATAAAAAAAAAACCTTGCTACGTGTACTGCGTTAAGCTAACTGAGACTTGTTATAGCATTTGCATATCATTGCTCTTTTGTTGATTTTGATTGCTTCCATTGTCCTCATTTGTAAGTCGGTTTGGATAAAAGCGTCTGCTAAATGATTAAATGTAAATGTAAAATCGATTGCGTTTCGGGGGTGGAGGGGGGACAAAATTAACCTGAGGGGCGGAAATCAGATTTGAGAGAGCAATGCCTGGCTGGCTGGTTAATTAGCATAGCCTATATCATCTTGTTTTAGGGCAGTCCATGTTTGATTAAACATCCGTAAATAGATGACATCTTAAAATATTATAATATAACATTTTACTTTGTTTTAGATTGAAGTTTTTGTCTTCTGTGTAAAAATAACTTTACTGGGTATATATTTTTGTAATAAAAATAAGCTTTTGTTTCATAAATTTGGTACTGATAACAGCTTAACTTTAGCCTAACTTATGGGTCTTTACTATATTCCAGTATCATTATGCCTCAATTAGCTAGTTATAGAGTTGTTGTTTTAGGTGTACAGATGACTTGCTGCTGTGTTAATGTATGTTGTTAAAATAACGTTCTGTTCCAGTCTGCTGGCTTATTTAGCTACAGTACACCGCATTAAGTATGCCACTTAGTACTGCAAGACTTTGAATGTTAAAGTGCAAATTAACACCTGACCACTCTTGTGGGTTTGCTACTATTCCAATTAAAAATTGTAGAAGAGTAAAAACCTGCCAGGCAAACATTGGTATGACGTAAGCAACACAGCTACAACAAATAAAATTAGATTTATAGTGTGTGAATAATCAAGCATTGACAATAATCAGTCGTATTGGCAGCACCGAGGGGCCCCCAAATCAAATTCTGTTTAGGGCCCCATAAAGGCTTGGGCTGGCCCTGATATAGCGGGTTGGTGGGGCCCGCCTACTGCTTGGGCACTCGAACGCCAGAAAGCCATTGGCTGTTGCAGATGCAATAGCAGGATTCGATAAGGCTTTAGCATTTCGGTTAAAAGGAGTTTTCCCCTAAGTGACTAAATTTGTCAAGTGAAGGACACGAAAAGGAGCCCATACATATGAAGCTATGTGATGCTGACTTTCAGCATATCAGTTCTCAAATCTTGCAGCATGTTAAAATTGTTTTGAAGTATTATTTTGCAAGGAATTGTGCGAAAATTAGGCTTTCTTAATTGAAACTCTGGCCTTGTAAATCATACTTTGTGTTAAAAGGAATAAACGTTGTCTGTGTTTTACTGCGTGTTCACTGCATGTGTTTTACATCGATGTTCATTTCAACTGGAAACTGCAGCGATTCGTACGTATTTATTATTTATTCTGTACACGGGTGACCGCTGCTCAAAGGTAGGGGCTGATTATAACACGTCAATGAGTGAGCAACTGGAACTCCTCTGTGTTCCGTACACAACTGACTGCTGCACTGAGACGGGCTGCTTGTGCCGCGAGAGTTAATGAGTGGCCAAAGTGCATCTGAGCGCTGAACAAATGCTCAAATTATGTAGTGAAGTTATCCTGAGTCATGGAGTCAGTTTTTCTGGACCGATGGATGTTGTGGAGAAAAGTCTTCTCTGTCTTGCAAAATAATGCTCAGGAGGCAGAGTTCCTGATGTCAAAATTAGACCTTATTTCAAGAAGACAACAAAGCTGACATGCCTGCAAAACACCTGAATCTGTCTCTGTCCAGACTACCATCTTTGTACAATTTCGTTATCGGTCACTGTCCAATGAGCGTACAGACCATTTTTTGATACATCATTCCCAGTCCTTTTCCACAATTGTTTTCATAATGCTTGCTTTCACTGTAGAAAACCACCTGTTAGTCTGTTTTTCAAGAGATAACTTCTCTTATCTACCACTTTCCGGGTGCCCAAGGTTGCAGAGGCATATACATTTTAGGATTTTAACGAGCTGTCAGGGTTTTAATGAGTTTTACACACGTAATCTATCTCATCCTGTGGCATCTCCCATCTTAGGTACTTCCTTCTGTATTCTCTATTCATAAGCGCAGTCATGTAGGCCTACACAGTTAGTCAGTTTGGTCTTGAGGTCTTCAAAATGCACCCAGCTCACATATGAGGCAATCTAACTTTCACAAACATGCAAAGTAACTTCAATTGTTTTCTATTAGATAAAAAAATATTTCATAATGGACTGCAGGGTTCTGGTCGTTCCACACATGATTTCTGGAGCTCATCCAGAGTTATCAGTTTTTTTTTATTCACCAAGACCCTTCTCCCCTGATTTCTCTGTGTGGCCTTCCCCTGATCTGTGCCTTGGAAATGGGATGCATCTGGGAAAAATTTCTACTGTGATAATACTAATTGTGTACTGTCTGTGTGATATATATAATATATATTTCTTAATTTGCAAAGGGGAGAGGGGCAACACTGTTTAACAGTAAAACATATAACACTGTTGTATTTCAGGTAAGGTCAAACAGTCTAGAAAGAAACTTTGTTGCTCCTCCTCTCACCGTCACTATGGAAAACATTACCTCATCAACCACGACTCAAGTGACCAAGGTAAGAGACATGTCACAGAGAGTTTGAGAACAATATCCCCTCTGAGCCAACACACCATTAACATTCAGCTTGACATAACTTTAGTCAAAAATTGCGGATGTATTATGGACAGGTCAATTTCTCTGCAAACATTAATAAGGTGAAGTTTTAATAAATAAAAAAAACTTTAAATACACAGGTTGGTGGTGAAAGACTATCAAAATGGCAGCTGATGAAATCTTTTGTTGGAGATTAAATTCTTGAATGTTTTTAACTGGTTTCAGACAGTGAAAGGGGGTTATGCAGAGACCAGGATTGAAAAAAGGATCATCATAACAGGAGATGATGATGTGAATCAACATCAGGTAAGCAAAGACATATATATGTAATGTATGTATATTAATGGTCAAGTATGTACTTATTGAATATGAAGGAAGCTGGCCCTGTATCGATATTGTGGCACGTGTGCAGCAGTGGACCGCGCTTAATTTGAATACGAGAAAGAGAGCAAGAGGGGCTGTGTATGTATGAAATACCACCGTTTTGCCGCGTTTCTCTATTAACAGTGAAGCTGTGGCTTTAATTCCTTTAGAAACGATGATGTTACCAGCTCCTTGTTGAGAAAGATAATGTAGCTCTTGAGCGATTAAGCTATTTTATTGATAAAATTGCGGGGCAGCGCTAAAAAGTTTGTGTTACTGAATGTCTGTGCGCGCACGCAACGTGATCAGTGTGAGTGACTAAAATCGTGTGTGCGTGAGATACAGTGAAGACAGCGCATTAGTTTAGAACTCTTGTCATTTTTATTTTTTTAAATGTAGAAATTGTGTTAATTTGTGCAATGATAACCTACCAGCAATGTAAATATATATATTTTTTAATATATTAGTATGAGTACATTACAATATAAATGTATTATAATGAGTACATTATTATTTATGGGCTTAAAAACAAGATGCAAACTATCGCCTCAGGTTACGTATGTAACCCTAGTTCCTCGAGGGAACGAGACGCTGCGTCGAAAATGCTAGGGGAACGCCTTCTGCGACCCACGCTCCGAATCACATGTGAAATCAGTCCAATAGCTGAACGGGACGTCACGGACGGGTGACGTCATGACCAGGAAGCTATAAAAGCACGTGCGGCGGAGCCCGCGTCAGCTTTCTGTCATTCAGCGAAGTGCTCTATGTGTGTCAGTCATATTTATTGTTGTCTGTCTATTGTGAGAAAAAGTCTAATAAGCAGCTATGTCTAAGGCTCACGCTAAGACAAAGCATGCAAAAGGCGAGTGCAGAACTAGGGTTACATACGTAACCTGAGGCGTTCCTCTTCAGGAACTCGAGCTGCGTCGAAAACGCTAGGGTAACGAGAATGCCCACGCCGCCAGACTTCTAAGTCTCTGCCGAGTGTGGAAATATTGTTGGGAGTGGCCAATGTAAACATGAAACATGTGCCATTACCTATATTGTACTGTGGTACAGTTATGGAGGCCCTTCATAATGCAGAGGTCAGCTGCCTGCTCTGCCAATAGTTAGAAATGGCACTATAGTATGCAGTGTTTAATAAACAGCTGTTTTACTAAATTCTGCTGAGGTGAAATTCAGTGCAGTCCTGTATCGTGATATGTATCGCATCGTGGCATCTGTATCGTGATACGTATCGTATCGTGACTTTGCTGGTGATACACAGCCCTGGTTGATACCACAAATTCCTTTCATGATTGCTTACCCTGACTAATGAAAGACAACGTCCAGGCTGCTAAGACATATTCACCTGTGGTTTTATTTTATTTTTTTTCTTCATTTTCTTCTACTAGTATAAAATTCACCCAAAACTTTTTTAAATTTAGAATGATTTGGGAAGCACTAAACCTAATCTAGCATACTATGTAGGTCAGCAAATAATGTAATGGTACATGTATATTAAAATCACTTTACTGTCATTAAAACTAACTTTTTGCAGGCTCTCGCCATGGCAATACAGGAAGCCAAACAACAGCACCCTGATATGCTGGTAACTAAGGCCATAGTAGTCAGGGAAACAGACTCTTCATATGAAGAGAAACACAGAGCATATGAGGTACAGCAAACATACAGAACATTGGTTATTATACATTGAATTTCTAGTACTTACAATTTCTTATTGTCCATGAAGGTGATATTTGAACATGTTAAATGTAAAGTAAAAATGAAGTAAAATTAGGGTTTATCTCTGCAGTTAAATGATTGCACATTTCTGAACTTTCACAATTCTCTCTTTCTCTGTGTGTGTGTGTGTGTGTGTGTGTGTGTGTGTGTACTGTGCATTTGTCCAATTGTTCCAGTCTTGATCAATAGAAGGTGCTGTTTGGAACATGAACAGAAGATCAGCTCTGGTTCTATGTATTTCAGTTGAAAGGAGTTGTGCTACTTATGCTACTGAGCAGTTTGCTCAAAACAAATCACCCATGCACCCAGTCCTCTGCCATCACACTCCACTCTGTCCATCTTATGGCGCTTTTCCACTGCGTGGTACGACTCGGCTCAGTACGGCTCAGTACGGCACGGCACGGTTCGGCTCAGCACGGTTTGCATTTCCACTGCAGTTCAGTACCGCTTTAGAGTGGGCGGGATTATTCACATGTCGTTATAGTTGCGCCTCTACTACCACGACTCCTAAAAAAAACTTTTTCATTCCACGTCGCCCCATCAAGCTCTCGCTGGATCTGCTCCTCTGCTATCAACAGAGGAACGTCTGTACTTCCGCAAGAGACAACAAAACTTTTTGGTTGTTAAAAAAAAGGTGCGCTCGTTCAAAACAGTTGCGTTCGATCCTTCGCTGGCTGCGCTGATTTAAATCTAGCGGTTCTTTTGTGTTTGTATCGCAAGTTCAGTGACGCAGGTAGTGACGATTCTCTCCGGCCAATCCGTGATCAGCAGAGTTTACACGTCACGTTTTGGTAACGGTACGGTTCACTTGGAACCCCAACCGAGGTGGTACTAAAAAAAGTACCAGGTACCAGGTACCAGGTACTGTACCCAGTGTAAAATCCCCAAAAAGTGAACCGTACTGAGCCGTACCATGCAGTGGAAGAGCACCATTAGTGACAATCTCCCATCATCTGATGTCAATACAATGTTCTGTACCATATCAACGGTAGTCTGAATTATCTTTGGTCATGCATAAATGTCAGTAGTTTAACATATAGAGTGGAGTTTAAAAAAAAAAAATGATGAAAGTGTTGGAAAGTTAATGCTGTCATGCGTGCACATCAGTCTGTGACATCAGACTTAGTTCCTAGAATTACCTTTTTTGAGCTCACAGCTTTTTTGAATTTTTCCTCAAATTGGAAAAAAAAATCTTAAAGTGGTCATATGATGCGATTTAAATTTTTCCTTTCTCTTTGGAGTGTTACAAGCTCTTGTGGGCTTCCATTAAGAATTCATGCATGACTTTCAAGGAATTACCCGAGAAGTTATAAGAATGGACAGACACAGAAGCTACGTATCATTGATGGCCAGCTTCTGTAAGATTTTTTAAATAATATTTGATCAAGTGTTTGCTTGTTAATTATGAATATTTATCATTTCGACTGTTATGCATATGCAGAAATTTTGGATATTTGAAGCATAGCATTTTGGAAGATACCCACACCTGACCAGTTAATAATAATAATAAAAAAGATGGTAAACCCCACATCAAAACAGCTGAACAAAGCAGAATTACACATGCCATAATAATAAACATATTTGTCCACATACCAAATTGAAATCCATGTTGCATTTTGGATTGTGGCAATGATTCTACAAATAAAAAAATCAACCTCTTTGCTTTCTTCAAACTTCTCTTGAACAAGGTCAACCAAGTATCAACATTAACATTATTCAACATTAACTTGGCTGCATTCTAAAAGCTGTTGACTTGGCTATTAGGTGACATTTTAAGGCATCATTAACCTGACACAAAGACTGTTACAAAAGATAATTACAGTATACTGCTGTCATTGTTGTGTGAATTCTAAGCAACACTTATAAAGAAGGAAATTCCATAATAAATGTTAATGGTCTCTCTTTAATGGATCCAAGACGGTGGATGAGGTTAGAGAAATGTTACTTATATAAAGAATAAATTAAATAATAATGTTTTATAAATAACTAAAAATGAAAAATAAAAGAATCTATTTTTGTTTTTATTAGAGTATCATGCTACTCTAATAAAAACAAGTATGTCATTACTCACATTACTTTATTTAAATCAGTATCTCAGTCTCCTGTGTTGAACGTTATTTGACATATTGTATTGTAGAATTTATTATGTTTAAATTCAGTTGTTTCCAGTGTTAATTTTGACAGGCATTTTTGATTTAGTCTTAGTCTTTATCTTGTGGCAGTAATGCTTAATAGTCTTAGTCACATTTTAGTCATTTGAGTCTTTCATATAGTTTTAGTTTGTGCGCTTGCGCGTGGGGCTTACAATGACTTACAACGATACATAACAGCTACAAGTGTATGCACTACTTGCTTTATGCAAGCACTATATAGGACAAATCACTATACAGGATTTACCCTATTATACTTTATCGACACGAATTGATAGGTGAAACAACAAACAGCCACCCACAAATAGTCTATAAACAAAGCATCCGGCTGTCTTTGAGTTCACATGAACAACGGTTAAAGTTACTCATCAGGCTACAGAAGAATACCATAATTCCTCCGTTCAATTAGGCCCAAGACATCGCAAGTCACGCAGACCTATAACAACCCAGCCACAACACATAATTGCGAATAATTAAACCCCCCAAAATTTCACAAATCACGTTTTCAGGGGAGCCCATGTCTTATTAAGGGGAGCCCAGCTCCCCCTAGCTCCCCTGTAGTTCGCACCCTGTCAATGACTCTCAGAAAAGATGGGTCTAACCGACATCTAACACACACACACACACAAACATCAATCATTTTTCCCATGAACCCTCCATTTAAGAACACAAACATTCAAAAGAGTCATCAGAACTGTTGAAAGAACCATATGTTGATGTGTTATGAATTAATGCGATATGAGTTGATGTTATGTTGGGTTGCTTCAATTATGGACTTTGAGACTTGATGCATTGAAGTACTGTGTTGGAATATTTACCGATGTTGTCTTGATATCTATTGATGACTCATGTATTATTCTAACTGATTTGAAAGACGTTTGTGATCCTTTGATGCTATCCTATATGGTGAATTAATTCATGAGATGGTTTATTTTTGGTTGTTTATTGGTTGTGTACTTTAACATGCTTTGAATAAGCAAGGGATATTGGAAAAAGAAATAAGCCCCACTTTGAGTTAAATAAAAAAGTGAAAAAGGAAAGAAAAAAAAGACAGTTTTGCAATTGTAAGAGTGCGGTTATTTTTAGTGATTTTAGTGACGTGATTAAACGTCTAAACAAGTGATGTGACTTGTTTTGTACTGTTCTGTGAAGTGTGATTTGAGTTAATGGGCATAGCTAGAATCACTACGTCACAGAAAATGGCGCCCGAACAGGGACCTGAACTTAAAAATTGAACTCAAAGACTTGAACTTGAAAACTTGTGAACTTGTGAAATTAATCTTGAAGCACTTGAAGCAACGTATATGATGATTCTCATTTTTGAAAAATGCTTTTTGTTTGCTTTAGAAAATGAATTGAACTAAAGTGTAAGGCCCGTTGTAGGGTAACATTGTTTTTTATTTGCACTTAATTGTTGAAGTATAAAACTGATTAACTAAATTGATGTAAACTTAAACTTAGCCTATATAACTAAGTGTGGTTACCAGGTAATGTGAATTGTTGTAGAAACCAACTCCAATTTCGAATTTGTGGTGTTAAGCTTGTAATCAGTGACCAAAGAGGGGTAATCTCAGTTGTGAACTATAAGTGATCACAAGTATTTATGTGATTGGTATTATTGTGAAGTGAATAATTGTTTGTTTTGCACTTCATCTACTGACAACATATAGCCTACAAATAGCCCATCCTTCACACTGTACATAATGGCCGATGCTTTGCACCCATCATCAACCTTGGTGGACATTGATATTCCAGATGTTGCCACTCCAGTCTGGGCACCTGCCCTGCAAACTCAGGTGTCTAATTATCCCTATACCCCCATTCAATCCACTGCATTACAATCAAGAACCCATGTGCAGTTTGCTTCTTCAAACCTTTACCCTAGTACACCTGTGCAATCTCTTGTCTGGAATGGAAACCAGAACGAGATGCAACTGTGTACTCCTTCTCCCACAGGGGATGGTTCTCAAGTGTCTTCAGGGGCCCGGTATGATTTGCCCGGAACGTTTCCCACACCTGCAAGGGAGATTGGACATCTTACTGTCCAGGGTAACTGGGACAAATTGTTTGACCTCGTGGAAAAACAAGAGACAGCTGTAAGTGCACTTACTAGTGAACTGAAACAGAATTCTTTGCAACATGAAAGCTAATTGGAAAGTCTTGCTGATAAAGTGGACAACCACACACAGCAAATTTCAAAGATTTTGTCAAAAAACAAACAACAGACTGAAACAGAGACCAATCAAATGGTAAAGACAATAAAGTTGTTAATAACAGATGAACTCCAAAAAGTTGAAAAATCATTGGTATCCAATATTCGTTTCATGGTAGAGCAACTTCAACAAGAGGTTCAAGAAGACATCAGAGATGTCCAGAAAAACTTTTAAAAAAGCCACAATGAATATGTTAAAGATTTCTCAGACATTAAAGCTGTCCAACAAAACTTTCAAAAAAGTAACAATGAATTTGTTAAAGATTTCTCGCATTGGACCTTCCAACTTGACCGCCTTAGTGATAAAATAAATGAGCTACCAGTGAATACCGAACACAAAACACCTCTGGACCCACAAAAGGAAACTGAAACGGAATCATCTCCTCCCATTGGTGTATCACCTCCTGTGAATGCTGTTGCTGTCAAGAGTGACCATCTCAAGTTAACCTTTCCAACTTTCGGAAGACCGTCAGATGACTCTGATCCTCTGTTGTATTTAACTAAATGTAAGGATTTTCTTGCATTACATCCTCTATCTGATCCTGAAATTCTAGCTACCTTTAGAACTGTCCTACATGGCACCGCTCGTGATTGGTGGGAAGTTGCCAGAACTACGATAACTACCTGGTGTGAGTTTGAGTCTTCATTCCTTACTGCTTTTGCAGCATTTTTGAGATATGGGATCATATGGCGCTTTAGAGGGCTATAAAGACCCCATTTCTATTAAGTAGAATAAATGAATGGTCAGTTCTTATACAGGACATCCCATACTATATGCACACATCATATGAAATCATTTTACTGCAGCATTTTTGAGATATGGGATCATATGGCGCTTTAGAGGGCTATAACGACCCCATTTCTAATAAGTAGAAAAAAACAATGTTCAATTCTTATACGGGGCATCCCATACTATATGCACACATCATATGAAATCATTTTACTGCAGCATTTTTGAGAAATGGGAGCATATGGCGCTTTAGAGGGCTATAAAGACACCGTTTCTAATAAGTAGAACAAATGAATGGTCAGTTCT